TGAGGGCTTTGTCCACATACACAGAGTGTCAAAATTCAAAGTTGTCTTTGCAAAACTCTTCCCACAAGCTGAGGGCTGTCATACCACAAAAAGGATTTTCAGTACTGTGTCTTCTGGGTGAATGCAAAGGTACCTACAAGTTCTTATCAGCCCACAGGTAGAAGTTAAAAACACTTCAGAAAGCCAGGAAAGTGGAGCTGAAATACAAAATAAAAAACAGTAGGAAATGAAAACCTTTGTGTGCTGCCAGCACAATTTCCGTGTGACTATTATTTCTTGAAACAGGCTTTTCAGACACACTTTGTTTTTCCGTGTGGGCTGAGACTAAATTCTCTTTTTTTGTTGATATTTTGTGTTTCAAATTCCTAACAGTAAGAAATAAACGTATGTCACACATCTAGCATATAACAGGTCCATTGTTCATTGACAAATTCAGTTTAAAGGTGTATTTTTTCATGAGGCAAAAGAAACAAAATTTGCATTTTAAAATTAGCTTTTAGTCAATATTTTAATAATAGACAAGTCCAGAAAATGTATAATTCACATCAATGTTGAAAATTTGACTGCTCCATCTATCATTGTGAGTATCTCATTGATGTATATAATTAATTTTGTTGCCTGATATTTTCCCCAGCCCTTGTGCTGTCTGTATTCCGAAACATTCTTTTTTACATGAAAGACAGAGAGATGACTGGGAATGTTTTTCGGACATGGAGTTCATTTTTCCTCTGTCAGCTTTTAATGCTTATTTTCTTTTGTGTTCCACAACATCTTTTCATGCAGCTAAAAGTCACCTTAGAAAAACTTGTGACTGGTTTGCATCCATAGGCCAGTCATTCTGGGAGTGACCTCGCTCTGTGCTTCCTGTTATTTCATTGTCAGCTTTCCATGCTTGGGTTTTCAAAGCATCAGAGAATTAATGAACACAACCTTTGAGAAAAGATGATAGAATACTAAGTGCAGTCATCTTAAATCAAGTAGGTATTCTGCAGTAATCATTCTTGAGCCAAAAGAGACTGAACACACCCACAACTAGAAATCCCTCAGTTTCAATATGACAACTACATAGTCATTCCAACTTTGCCTACACTTTCACAAAGACACACTTGCTCTATCATCACCTGGTCTCCAGCTGATTAAAAACTCATCTGCATGCTCTTCACACTCAGAGAATAATGGGAAATTTGTCTACTTTGGAAACTCCTGCCACTTTCTCAAACTTTTTTTACGTATTGCCTCCTTGCCCCTCTTCCTTGGTTTCAAGCTGGTTTTGTTCCACTCATGTCCTACTGGCTCAGCTGTGTGATGTTTCTATGGTTCCCTGGTTTTAAAATAACTTTTCTAAGCCAATCAGCATCACTGCTTTCTATTTTCTAGTCCTTTGTCACAAAACTATTTGGCCATTCAGCTTCTGGAACTAACCAGACACATTTATCCCTTGCTTCGGGGCTTTCCTCAGTTTGCCACTCTTTTCTAGTCTCAAACCCAGAACACCTTTGAATAGGAAGCACCTGTAAGTATATAATTAAATGCCCATAAATCTGCCGATTTATCTGCCCCTTTGTTGATAAAGGGGGGCCCAGACCATGGTGAGCATTAGGGATTTTTCTAGTCAGTGATCCACAGCAACTTAGATCCTGTTTCAAAGGCAAGCAGAGTTAGAAGTCGTGCTGATTTTGGAGAGCTTTTGGGTTAGAATGCACATGAGCTGTGATGTGTTGTTATAAGATAATGAAGATGATCTGTATACATAAAACATGTATTAAGTTACCCATCATTTTATAACTCTGAAAGCACATGAATAGGAAAAGTGTACACAGTTTCTCAAGATCTTAGTATTAGGCAAAACTGGAAAGAACAGATATACGTGTAGCAGATACAGTGTAGGCTTAGACATTTGACACATCTTTCCAAAGTCATTCTGAAGCGAGATGTAAAATACAAGCAGAAAATACGCTTTTATACGGGACTGAACAACGAATATGTTCTGTTGATTGGTCTACGTCTAAATTAATTTATAAAAACCTTGGATTTCCTATTTTTCCCTGGACAAACTTAGAGAATGACATCAATATCTGAAGCACAAATGTTCCCGGGCTTAAGTAAAGAGCCCTCTCTTTTAGGCTTTTTAAATGCAATTTTTCAGAGGCTGATTAAATTTCATTAAAAGAGAAAATTCATTACTTGGAACTGTAGCAGTTCCAAGTAAAGTTCCAACTGCAGCAAAAGCGTATTGAGGAGTTGATGACATGGTAACCACAAGAGTGACTCTCAAGTGGCTAAGCACACTATGAAGTTCTGGCAGACTGTATGCATGTTGCTAACCTTGTTGGCAGTGCAGTTCATGGAGTGGCAGCTTTTATCATGCTTTAAGAAGAGATATTTGCACCTCTTTCCTCTAATATGAGCTGCAGATGTAATTCCCACAAGCCAATTTAGTCATGTTACTGTAGTTTGCATTTGCTATTTCTGCTTTTATTTTTAATTCTGTTTGCCAAGGAACTTGGGATATCTGCTCAGAAGGATCAGAAAACTATTGTAATATCCATGGTGTTTTTCACTGTGTTAAAAACACAAACTGAATGGTCCTTCCAGAACTACTGGTACAAAGAAAGTTAATGATATTGATACAAAGAATTTCCTTCAGACATCAGAACTCTGAAATGCAGTAGTGCCCATTTTTCATCTGCCAGTACAGGTTGACCTCATTGCAATGGCCACACTTAATAGGTATTTGCAAGGTTTTCTTCAGAATCACAAGTATTATATGAGTCTTCTGCAAGCTCTGGGTTAAGTTGCTACCTATCAGATAGTCTCAAATATTTAGAAAAATAGCAAACAGCTATGAGTAATATTAAAAGAAAAAACGTATGAGAAGTCTTTGAAACATACAAATACTTGCCACTTGGACACCTTAATTTTGCTCCTCTTGTGATAACTGATGGGGGAGGTTGGGGGGGGAAATTACAGCAGCTGGGATGAGTGCTATTCAGCTTTACATCTTACCAAGTGCGAAGAATACGGGATGGTGTAAGGAGAAGGGAAACCCATATGAGTGGCAACATAAGGAAAGGAGTAAAGTTAGAATCAGAGGATAGGGAAAGAAACACAAACAGAAGACAGAGGTGAGGAGTCAAGAAAGAGAGAACAGTAAGAGTGAGAAACAGAGAGGATGAAAGAAATTAAGGGAGTGAAAATAAGCAGGGAGTGGGAATGAAGAAAGAAAGAGGTAACTGGAAGAAACAAAGTGGTTGAAGTGACAGAAAGGTTGAATAAGGAGTAAGAGCATTAAGCTGATAGGATGATGAAGTGGCAATAATAATCAGAGAAGAAACTATAAAATAGTTAAAAATGCCAGGAAAACAAATGCAAACTCCAATTACTTTTTTTTCTTCCTATGCATTAATCCCCCTGCTGTGGTCACAGTTCCCTATGAGGAAAAAAAAAATGGCAAAAGCATCAGACCAGATGTTCCACATTATGAAAACCTTGGGCCAGCTCTGGCTTACACAAAGTGGAAGGAAATGCTTCCATCTCTTGCTATGAGCAACTCATAGACCCGGTTCTCAGTCTTTGTGAGAAGGCCAGAAAGAGCTGCTTGTCTCGGGGTGCTGAGGAGATCTTTCTAAATGGGTAATTAGGAAATACAGTGAAAGGATTCAGTCTGGATACCCTGCCCTTCAGTCACAGGTGAGTTTGGTTCAGATCAGTTAAAGCATTTCTTTGGTATACTTCAACAATCTGCTAAAACTGCTCCTGTAACCACATTGTATTTTGTACACTAGTGAAAAAAATGAATCTTGCATTTTGAACAGGCTATTTTGATAATTCTGAAAATTTTCCAAACATTTTTCAAGATTGGGATTTCCTTGAAATGAATGCTTTCCTAGCAACAATTTTTGTTTTGAGAAATCAGCATTTTATGAAAGAAAAAGGGTTCTTTGACGAATTCCTGGCTCTCTGTTCTGAAGGAACAATATTTCCTTTAAAACGCTAATGTTATTTCCAGTGTGATTTGTTGATATAGATATAGAAGCCTATTATCACTGTTTAAAAGCTAAGGCATTGTAATCAATTATTTTTGTACTTCATGAGCAATGGACCTTCCTACTTTCTATGATTAATACAAGAAAGCCATAAATAAGTTTATTAATAATCAAATAATCTCTATTAACAAAGATTACTTAATTATAATTTTCAGTAACAGGAAATTTAAGATTTAGGCTCTTTGGAAATGCCTTTGCAGATAGGTGAATGATACTGGATATGTGCAGTCTCAACCAGAATTGCTCCAAACATCTTGGCTCATCACCACTTTCAAAGACAATGCTGAATGTTGCACAGAAAATGAACCTCTGAGGTTCTCTAAAGACTTTATAGAATTTATATGGGAAGCCGTTCAAGCCAGATGTTTTTCCATTATTTAGTGAATTAATGGTATCCCCAAGTAATGCTTTTTCTAAGATGTCCCTTTCTGTATGAAGGCATGTGGAGCATTTGAAGGCTGTTTAAGGAATCCATTAATTTCTTTTATGTACATCAGAGTAGACATTTTCTGAGACTATATCATCACAGACCTGCTTACAGGCTTTATTTTTTGTTTGCTTAAAGTTATTCCCTTTTATCTTGAATGTAAATGGAACTTAGTTGATTATCACCACTTCATTTTCTAAGCGTATATTCTGGATATTTTTCCATGCCTATTCTCCATTTTCCAGTGTTGTTCTCTTAAATGCTAATGTACAACATACTCTGCATTGGGACTGGAGATCATTTTTGTCTGTAAAAGCTGTAAAATGGAAAATTCACAATAATGTGCCCTGAAGTTTGCTTTTTGACAGATCAGAATTTGAGCTGGGTCAATAACAGTTGACACTTTTGTAACAACTTGCATTTGAGGAACTAAAAGCACTGAAAAAAATAATAAAAAATTACCAAAGCCTGAAAAAGCCCTGTAAAGCTTAAGTAATCCTCTGGTGTGCTATTTTTCCCACTTGCAGGGCTACACAAACAGAATACTTTGGCACAGAATGTACCACTGACAGCTCCTCTGACTTTGGCTGCAGTACCAATGACAGCAAAAGATACTGAAATGATTGTCCATAATCCCTGCACAGCACCTAAGAAGGGAACTGAAGATGTTCATTGGTGGGACTTACAGTGAGAAGAGATTGCCAGGATTAGATGCAGGAGCTCAGAGTTTTGTATCAGTAGAATAAGGGAAAGCAGTTGTAGGAAAAAAGCCTGACATTTGTTAGAATGACTTTATTACTATAAAATACTTTAATTAAACCTTCCTCATTATGTCTGTAGTGTACCAACACAGTATCTATGCTGTTTTCTGATGCTCAGCCTCTTTCATTTATTTTCTTTAGCTGAAACTTCAAGTTATTTTATAATGTATGGCAAATGAAAGGAAGGAAATGGCCTTGTGAATGGAAGTGATTATGTCTTGGAACAGGTATACCGGTGACAGCTTAGTTCCTTTGCTTTTCTTTTGAACATTCATGCTTGCTAAGCTGAAGTGGTAATTAAGTTCAGGAAATTCACACTTTTGCACCCAAAATTTTTGGTTGACCCTAACACAAACCATCCATTAACTTCTGTAACAGAGGTTTCTTGGGCAGTAATTTCTGCGCCCCTTATGTTACGTTCATTTTTTCCTGGTGAGCTTACTTGCTTTTAGCACTCACCTGCTCCTGCAGAGAAGCTGCAGAATGCCCGTCAAACAGATCAAAGAGCATATCTCCCGTTGTTTCCTGAGGGCCCATTTTTTATGCACTCATTCGCTTTCTGCTCTTTCACATACTACTCTAAACAGCCTACAGTACCAAGATGGACATTGTTCGTGCTGCATTATGAGAATTGTAAGACTGATAGCTTGTCCTTTGTGTATGTGTCCATTTGTCAAAAAAGGGCAGCATTCCACCTGATGTATAAACATTTTTAAGTAATCATGTTTCAGTCCCACATGATAAACTAGCAAACTGAGGTGGGACTGAGAAATACAGGGATTATTAAACAAACAGCATTCCCCTCTCCAAGAGCAAGTTGCCCTTTTAAAATACTCTACTGCTCAGGACAATTACAGCTTTTGATCAATTTTGTCCAGTGAAATCCATTTAAAAACAAGTTGGGCAAGCCTCTCTGGATTTTGTGGTTGTCTATTCCAAATGGCCAACTGCCAGCAGTTTTGCTGAGAGTGGGACCCATCTGATAGTCCAGCATAGAAAAAGAGTGAAAACAGAACACAGGGAATCAGAGAACCAAATGGAATTCAGAGCACAGCCTGTATTTTATGTGCAGTTTGAGAGACAGTACAAGTTCTACTAAAATATTATTTGGTTGGTAGCCAGGTGTTGTTCAATAGGCTTTTTTTAAGCTCTAAACGTGTAAAAGATGCGCTTATTATTTACAACTTGCTAAATACAGGCTTGAACAGCTCCAATATGAGTCAAACATTCCTTCAATATAGGAGTAAAAGAGAAAGACCTTACAGATGTTTCTGATGAGGCACCACAACATCCTGAAATACTCTGTGCTGTGTGTTAGCCCTGTGTTTGCACTTTTCCCAGTGTCAGACTTAAACACAATGCGCTAAGAATGCTTTGCATTTATTGACCTAGATGCACTTTCCAAGTTGACTTCTCTTTGCCTGAATAGTAGCAATACTTCCCACCAGATGGTATCCCTGGACATAAGTTTACTATAATGTGTTACTGGGCATTTACTACACAATTGACATAAATCTTCCTGTTCACCAGCTAAAAGCTTGCCCAGACTCAAGCTGTGGCTAGTTTGCTATGTAGGCTAGGTGCTAAACCCTGAACCAGGTTTTGGGCTCAGCTCCTTAAGCCATCCATTCTGTAGTGAGGGTGCAGCTGATGTCTGCTAGCTTTAGGTATGTAGGTGTCCAGTGCCTCCCATTTCATACCCAAGGAAGAAACATGTTCTTTTATGAACCAACATGGAGGAATCACAGAACCTCAGGGTTTATTAAGGCATCAGGACACATCTGCCTCTACTTCTGGGTAACAAACACCAGCTATCAATGTGCCAGCAAGGGCACATTGGTAGGCTGACCTGCATAGACAAACTGAAGTAGAAAAAAATCTGGCTTGTCTTTGCAGTGAGGACACTCCACTCAACATTAAAGACTAGAGTTCCCAAGGCTGTTGTCAGATTAGACCATCCCCCAAATCTCTGTGTAACAGCGGAAAGCTCTCAGTCCTTCCCATTGTCAGAGAAAAGAGCCAGAGTCAAGCACCTTGACTTCCCTGCAGTCAGAACTTGAAAATTGTTTCAATTAAAATCATTAAAGTCTTTGAAAACAACATGACATGCTTGTGCAGTCATATCACAAGTATTTATGAACAAAACTTGACAATTTCTGGATAATCACAGAAAAAAGCAGGATTTAAACACAATCACTCAATGGAAGTAGCATCAGTTTAAAGTTCACATTTCTTATAATTCATGCTGTTAGTAGTGCACGCATCTCAGTAATAGTAGAGAAATGTCAGTCCTTTAATATTACATATTAATGTATTTCAATGAATAATATAATGTGGGTTAACCTGGGTAGGCAGCTCATTCACTTTCCCACTTCACCCCTGCTGGGACAGGAGAAGAACAAAGAAAGAGTAAAAGCAAAAAACCTTGTGGGCCCAGATAAAAATTTTTCAGTATGTGAAGGAGAAGTGGAAGAGGAAAGAAAGAAAATGAAGCAAAACAAGTGATACAAAAGCTATCACTAGCCACCCCCCATGGGTTGACTGATGGTCAGCCACTTTCCAGACAAAACGTGGCAAACCTTCCTAAGCTCCCTTCTATCTGTTTTGTTGCTGAGTATGATGTCGTATGATGTGGAATATTTCTTCCATTAGTTCAGTTCATCTGTCTGGTTGTGTACCCTTACCAATCACTTGCCCATCCCCAGCTTCCTCACTGGGATGGCAGAGGAAAAAACAGAGGTTTGGATGATGTACAAGCACTGCTCAGGCAGTAGCAGTAGCTAAAATGCTGGTGTGCTGTCAGCATTGTTTTGGCTACATATTTAAAACACAGCACCCTATGAACTGCTATAAGAAAATTAGCTCCATCCCAACCAGACTCAGTATTGTTGGTTTTGTTGATGGTCTCCAACATGTATTTCCTTGACTGGGTTTCCATAGCTGGAGCCACGGCCATATCTGAAAGGCAGATACCACCACCCTTGCCATGACTAGGGGAAGAGGTAGCAGTATAATCCTGGTACAAGATCTATTTCAGTACCTACAAAACCAAGCGCTTGCATAGTAAAATGCATGCCCTGCTTGCTTAGGGTTGCTAACAGTACCACAGAGGGTGAGCGGTAAGAATGCACTGGATGAAACTCAGCAATTCCTTCTCAGCTCAAAAAATGTGAGATGTGCTTTCTGATGATAAAAGGTTCCTTCAGATTCAGAAAGCACCACATCATTCCTTGGAGAAGGTAGACTCTGACTTAAGGCAGGCTTTGCCTAACAGTCCATAAATAAACTCTGGGCTGTAAATACATATACTTTCTTTTTAACCTAGTGTCTTTCTTTTTTGAGATGGTCGCAAGCTGCCTATGTCAGCACAGTTTATCAGTGTCACCTCTACACCTGTTTTCCAAACAAGACAAAACTCAGAGAAGAACACAGTTGCTGGCTGAAGGCTGTCACAGCTGTCAGTGGAAGTCCATGCTGAAATGTGGTTAACGCTCTCCCATAGAGGCCAAGTGGGTGAGTATGGTAGCAAGAAAGGGCCATGGTGACAAGGATTCTTGAGGTGCTGTGTAAAGGCATTCAAGGACAGAAATTTCTGTGTCAAGGCACTAACCTGCATCCTCACTTTAATGTTTATCTAATTTTGCTTCCTTTTATTTTATATTTATAGGAAATTTTTGTGGTGGGGGGAAAAATCTGTGGAGTTTTTGAAATGAAGTCTGAAATTACACATAATGAAATGGCACTAATAATAAAGCCTGTCCAGAAAATCTCTAGAAATAGGTGCTGCAGTAATGAATAATGATAGTAACAATAATTACAGTTCAAAAACTTTTGACTATATACATCTTAAACAATAATCTGATTTTGTGTCTGTGTGGATTACCAGGACATAAATCTTTAAGAGGCAGCATAATTTTCTATTTGAATTATTTTATTTGTGTACATATGTTGTGCTGAAAGAGGTAGAGGCCAACAAAGGGAAGAAAAAGTTAGATTCACTTAAGTAACTCCTGGGCTTCAATTGTTTTATTTGACTGCCAGGCAGGTGCTTGTAGGTACTTCCGGGTTTGGTTTGTCTTCTTAATAAGAGCACAAACATGTTAAAGGCAGAAAGGAGAGTATAATTTCAATGTTTCTGTTAATTTAAAAGCTAACTATGGATGACAGGGGAAAAAAGGAAATTTGATTTCCCCAGTATGTATTAATGAACCCAAATCACTCAAGATCAGACTATTAAATGCCACATGAAGTGCCCATACTTCATACTTAGGTACATCATTGGTTGTTAGTACGAGATAAAGCATTTTTTCTGAAAGCAAGTATTACCGTAATAAGGATGTTAAATTTTGCAAAACAAATTGCTAACATTAACCAAGTCAAGTGTACAAGTGGTTTCAGGTGTAGGAAATTACAATGGGGTCTGGGGCTTTAAAACAGTAGAGGGACTTAGCCACAAAACTTCCATTAATATCAAAGATATCAACTGTCCAGGTGTCTTGGTTAACTTTAGGAAAATGTTGTCTTTTTAAAGTCAAAGCATAATACTAATGAATATTTGGTCTTGGATTAGTTTTTCTTGCAGATGTTTCAAGTCAGCAAGAAGAGACATTAGTGCCTAACATTCTGTTCAACTACTTTGCTTCTCCCCAGTTGCCTTTTCCTATTTACGCTAATAAACATAATACTCATAATAGCTTTTTAAGCATTATTATGTTCCTAAGAATCACAGCGAGGCCTGTGTGAGTTTACTTAGCAAGACCCTTTTTATCTGAGAACACATATACATGCTGCTTAATTGTGAAACACAACTACTGAAAAAAAAGATGCAGCAAACAAACAAATAATGGGCTGAAATGGTCTATAAACTCTGCTTAGTCCAAATTAGTAACAATAGTGTGTTGTGTTTTTGTCTTAAATTGCATATATTAACAGCTACACATGCAAAACAAATTCTCTTTGTAGAGACTGAATTATGTAAATGTAATTTATAACGTTAATTTGAACTTGTAAATTTAATCCATTCAAACATGAAAAGGTTTTCGTGCACTGAATATTTCTAGGGTGGTTTAATATGCTTAAAATAAATATTGAGCAGCTGACAGAAAAACATACCCCCCGTATCACAAAAACTGCTTTATAACAGTATTTTAAGTCCCTAATTAATATTTACTACCCAGGGACTAAACTTCTAAGCAAATTTTCTTTTTGAAACGTTCATTGTGCAATCTATACAGGTGGCAGGTATTGATGGGAATAGATTGCAAACAGGCAAGGCAAAAACACATTGTAAATGTTGCTCCAATAAAAAATACTAGCTATGAAGTTGCTATGAACTGCTAATAGCAGTTGATACAAGAGAGGTATCAAGTTTCAGGTCTTTGGCATACAAAGTGCATTTTCTCCCCGCTCCCAGGTTTCCTGAAAGTAAAGATAGTATAACTTCCAAAAAACCATTTGTATTTATGTTGTGATACACCATCCAATGCTTGTTCACTGAAAATGAAATGCAACAAGGCTCAGCCCCAAAGACAACAGTGAAGCTGCTGCATTGTAGATGCTGGGCTACCCCGTACTTGTTTCTTTCTTCAAGCATTAGTTATTTCAGCTTTTGAGCTGATCAGTATCTCAGAACATGTTAAGCTTTACCTGTGGAAACTATCTGATATTTCCTTTTTGTTCTAAAATTCAAAAAAGATATTTGACTTTGTGAAATTAGGTAAATC